CCCCCCCCCCCCACTCTCTCTGAAAAGCAATGGAAAAAATATCCTCAAGTGAGGAAAAAAAATAAGGGTATGTTTAAGATGAGAAGGAAATACTGTTATCTCTGTATAGTTTTAACTTTTTTATACTTAATGAAACTTTCACAAGTTTTCTACATGTATTTTATTATTAGAAAAAAAAATAACTTTTTTAAACACAAAGACATAAAAGTTAAAAAAAGCAAGGCAAGTTAGTAAGAAGGGGAGAATTTTCTTTTTAATGAGACTTCTGTTCATTCGGTTTCTCTTACTGCTTCCTAGAATCCTTATAGTGACCAAGAAGTCTTCCCCAGGGGGATGATTATGGCAGTTGCTTTACTCGTCTGCTCACTTTCTTAGACAAAAGTGACAGTATTGAGTTTGATACATGTCACTCTGCCCACAGTCATGATATGTTTACCCTAACTGGTCCACAGCCCCTTGCCCATCCCCACCTCTGGCTTGTGATTGTGAGGTAACTGTCATAGTTCTGGCAAAGTCTGTAGCTTCAGAACAAAGCCGAATCAACTGGCTCACTTGGTGCCAAACCCAGACTTTGTCCACCTCTGCTAAACTAAATGACACCACCACCTCTTTCTATATGCCCACTTTCAGTACTTCCTCAGTAACTGTACAAGGTGGTACCTGATACTTTCCTAGGAGACCTATAGAATTTATCTTTCTTTTTTTCTTTTCACATTTTACCATCCCTGAAATTTGGATGGTAAATTATAGTCTTACAATTACAAAGGAATTTCTCTTTTCTTTCTTATTGACACATAAAATAATAATACATTATAGCCCAGCCGGGCGTGGCTCAGCGGTTGAGCATCAACCCATGATCCAGGAGATCGCGGTTCGATTCCCGGTCGGGGCACATGCCCGGGTTGCGGGCTTGATCCCCAGCAGGGGACGTGCAGGAGGCAGCCGATCAATGACTCTCATCATTGATGTTTCTATCTCTCTCTCTCTCTCTTCCTTTCTCCCTCCCTCTCTCTGAAATCAATAAAGATATATTTTAAAAATAATAATAATACATTGTATAGTTTGTAGCATCATAGAATAAATAAAAGGGGGTACTTATGCATAGAGTAAAAGCATATAGCAAGGAAAAGAAACATCAGATGCAAACTGCTAGAATAGTGCCCACTATGAACATGGTTAATATCTTTCTGTTCTACAGAGTGTTTTGCAATGAAGGGAAGTTTGTTATTTTATTGTGTTTCTAGAATCAAGGAGTTTTGGCTTATAGTGGTCATTTTAAATTTTAAGTCTTAATTTAGCACTGCCTGCATGTCCAGTGAGGCAAAAGGAAGAGTTGCACTTTGCAGAATATTAGTTAACCATTACTTTGTATTTGAAATCATGCATATAAACCAAATTATTGTTGATATTAATTGAATAGCAAATCCAGGTTGCTGACTCCTCATATTATCACTTATTCTTGGCTGTAAAAGGGCAGTTTCAGGTGGTCTTCTGCCTTGTGTTACTGTAAAGAGAGAAGAAAAAAAGAAAACCTTGTGATTGACAACCAGAATGGTTTTTACATTGTGAATATGGGTCAGAGCTCCACCTGGCCCACAAGCACTCAGTTGCTGTTGATAACAAGGAAACTTAAAATGAGTGCTTTCTGCCCTCAAACACCCATTTCCTAGGTTTAAAGCTCTCAGGGTAGCTTTATAAATAGGTAAGACTTGAGATTCCTCTTGCTCTTTTTATTATCATTTAAAAATCACTCTGGCTCTGTCCAGTAGCACTGGAATTGTGTGTTTACTGGTAGGCTCACAAGCGTGGAGCCAGTGGGGAGATCCAAGGCAGGGTCGGTGAGAAGGATGGTTTCTTTGGCTGCAGTGCTGTACCTTTACTCAACTTGCACGTCCCCCTCCCCTGTTCCTGTACCCGCAGTGAAGCTGCCGCCCATGCTGTCGCCACACTGGCCGAAGCCACCTTGCAAGGGGGGGGACAGATCGTCCTGTCTGGGGAAACCGCAGCAGCCGTTGGAGCACTTACTGGAGTCCAAGATGCTAATGGTAAGAGAGCATAAATATTTTATTGAATTTCTTCCCTGTTTCCACTTAAACCTTCATGACATGACGGACAACAAACCCTTCAGAAAGAGATTGAGCTTTGATTTCAGCTTTTCTTTAGTGGTAGGCAATTGATGCCTCAGAAAAGTTGCAGAGCCTCTGATTCCTTTCACTTAGTAGGAGCCTTGGGCTTTCCGGGGGAGAGGGGCACACACAAAAACATAATGGCTGCCTAACTGAATTGCTTATTTGAAAAGTGACTGTTTTGCTATGACAGGACTTGCTGAGAGGTGCTTCAGAATCTGCTGTGGGGCACATTTTGTCCTTACTGTCCCATGGGGGAGATCAGTGGCAGTGGGTATATCATGGTTGGAAAGAAAGCTCTGTCTATCTGGAGAAAGGTGGTGCTGTGGGTTCTGCCTCCTGTTAAACGTGGCTTCACCAAGGACCTCTGGATTTAGCCAATAACATGCTACCACCCTCCCCTTCTTTCCCAGCTCTTTGACTTCCTGGATATTGATTATATCCTGAATAAACAAAAGGGATAAAGTTCATAGAAATACGGTGGCAGAAATTTATGACTCCATCCCTTCTCTTTGGATCTCCTTCCGCAGGCTCTGGGAGTCAGTTACCAAGACTTGGGCTGCCCAGGGAAGTGCCAGTTATAGCTGACATACAATATTCTATTAGTTTCAGATGTCCAACATAGTAATTAGACATTTCTATAAGGTACTCTATGGTTTTAGAGATTTGTTGTTTAAAGTCCTGGAAAGAGGATAGATAATGACATACATTTATTTAGGCAGAAAGTTCCTTAATGGCATTAGTGACTGAGAAATGTCCTGGCATTTTTTTTAGGGTAGTCCCTACAAATTGAATAAGATTTTAATTGGAAATGTCTTTGAAGAAAGACACAATGCTGTGTCCTCCAGAGAAGAATAACATAGGGGCCCTGGCCAGTGTGGCTCTGTTGGTTGAGTGTTCTGCCCATCAAGAGGTCACGGTTTGATTCTGGTCAGGGCACATACCTAGTCGCCGGCCTCATCCTCTATAAGAGGCGTGCAGGGGGCAGCCCATCAGTGCTTCTCTCTCTCCCTCTCCCTTCCTCTCTAAAATCAATAAAAACATTTTTTTTAAATAAGAATAACATAGCAAGTATAAGTAGCCATTGTGGCTTCTGAGAATCACTTATTAAAACAACAAAGAAATATCAAATGCTACAGCTATAGCCTGCTTTTTCTGTAGGGCTAGGGGCTCCCATGAACTAACCCAAATAGAGGTAGAGATGATCTTAGCAAGAACACTGTAGGATAAAGGGCATCTCCTAGCTGTGGATGTTCAGGATGAACAGGACTATAGGTAGAATTAAGGAAAACCTCCCTCTTTAGCTAGAATCCTGCTTGCTTTTTCCATTCCTCATGTGAGTCCTAATTGACCTTAACTGAAAGGTAAGCTGTGTGACATTCTTCTGAATCGCAGTTGCTGTTATTCACTGTGGAATTGCTAAAAATACTGCCCTGTGTAGGTTTGGTAGGAGACTTTGTTATCCCTTATGGTCTTGACCTGTCTGGGTGAGGAGAACAGACTACTTTATAGTTCTGACCTCCTCCCAGCCTCACCTTTTCAGATGAATGAATTTGTAGGTAAGTGTAAGGACCTCGGAGTCTCTGGCCAAGTAAACCCATTCAGCCATGCAATAAAGTGAATCACACTCACTGTTGATTCCTGGAAGCGGCCTCTTCAGTAGCTTTGGGTTGTGTGAATCAGTTGTGTTGATTTCATGTTGTTGGCTACTTTTGTGATAAGAGAAAATTCTGGTCTACATCCTAAAAGTCAGTGGTTCCCCAAAGCGGGCCATCCCCAGTTTGTGACTGCCCACATGTGCTGAACTCAGACTCGACAGTTGGAATTATCACGTTCTCTGTGCAGCTTTTCTGTATCAAATGAGACCACTGAGTTGTGCCTTATCCCAGCAGTTTTAAGGGAAGACTGATTATTTCATTTGTCCTTTGGATACTCAAAGAATGACTGATATTGGATATGATCCAAATAATTCTGACGCTCCTCCATCTGCTAACTTTTTTGTCCATAGTACTACAGCGTTTACTCTGGGACTAGAACTGTAGGAGTCCTCTTTTCATCATTCTTTCAGGTTGTGCCTGTTACCAGCATTGGTCACTTCTCTGATGACAAGCTTAAGGAGTCTGCCAGTAGACCAAGTTTACTGTCAGGGAGACTTTATTATCAGGAAGAACCAGAACAAGGTGCTATTTGGAAACAGATACCACTGAGGGAACAATTCATCTCAGGTTCCAGAGTAGGAGTTAAATAAAAATCCAACTAGCAGATGGCTCTTCTAAGAACAATTTGGATACAATTCAGGCCCAAGACTGGAATTTTTCAGCATCTTCTGGGATAGAACTAGAGGGGATGGAGGACCATTGTTTGTGGAGCTTAATGGAGTATGATACCCAGTGGGGCATGGTTGGGGCAGTGTGAGGGTGTGAAAGCAGTATCCTGTAGGACAGTGGTTTTCAAGTTAAAGATCATGTCCCATGCATAGCAGAAGTTTAAATTCCAGGTCACCTAGACAGATCTTACAGAAACCTTCTCCCTGAAGACTTCCCCCTTTTTTCTGGACCCTACCCCATTCTATTTCTAAAGGGACTACTCAGTCACTAGCATTACTTTATTTCATTTATGTTTTTCCTTTCTTAGTTGCAGTAAATGTCTTTGGCCTCTCAGGATGGAGTTTCATGGTTGGTTCAATTTAAAGATTTCCTTAGGTGCTTTTCTTTTCATTGAGATGCAGATAGAATTACCTTTGGCTAGGAAAGGCCTCTGGATGAGCCTTTCTTTATTTCTTTTGTTTCCTTTTTTTAACAGTTATCCCTTCCCGTACCCACCCCTATTGGGGACCAAACCCAAAATCTAGGTATGTGCCCTGACTGGGAATCAAACCCACAACCTTTTGGTGTACCGGACGACGCTCCAGCCAACCGAGCCACCCGGCCAGGGCCAGTCTGTACTTTTTAATCCTTTCACCTTTCACCTGTCCCTCTTACCCCCTCTCATCTGACACCAGTCAAAATGTTCTCTGTATCTGTGGCTCTGTTTCTATTTTGCTTATTTATTTTGATTGAGATTCAGTTTTTGACAGGTACTTACTACCACTTTATTGTTCATATTTTTTATCTTTTTTTCTTCTTCTTAAAGAAGACCCTTCAACATTTCATGTACTACTGGTTTGGTGGTGACGCACTCCTAGCCGGATACTCTAAAAGCTGCACCATGACCAAGCTGTGTGATCCTGGGCAAGCAAATTAACCTCTTTGAGCCTTAACTGTAAAATTAGGATAGTGATAGTTGCATGCTCATAAGGGAGTTGTGAATATTAAACAAAATGACTCCTGTAAAGTGCTTAGCATAGTACTGGGAACATAGATACATGGGAAATGTGAAACTATCACCAGCTGTCAGCATAAATTTCTTCTCGGTCATTCTCCCAAATACAGCAAGTTGTACAGAGCACACAGTACTGTTGCAGCCCCCGCTTTCCTGTCTTTAGGACGGATCCAAATGCTTACCTTATGCAATTGAAGGGTTTATGCTTAGAGGTGAATACTATAAAAATGGGAATAGATCAGAAGCCCTCTCTAGAACCTGGAGTGAAGGAAATGGAAGGAACCTTGAGTGAAGGTGACATTGTTTAATGGCTCCTGATTTCGCTGTGTCACACTCCTCAGGCAAGGGCTGCTGTTCCCTTCCAGCACGTAGTTTGCAGTAGTTAGTGTGGCCTTTGTTACTCCTAATGGCATCATCTCTCTTCACATCTCACAACTGCACTGTATTTCAGCTTTCATCATGAAGGGTGACTTCATTTTCCCTTGTTGTCACCTCCACCGTCATCTGTTATTACTTACTACGTGTCCTCCTCTTCTAGCTCTTCTTTAAAAATGAGATGAAATGCCAGTCCTCATCTTGATAAGCTGTAAAGTGCATCTCTCATTCTCTCTTTCTGTGGACATATTCTTTGGACATATTAGTATATGGACCTGCTCCCAAAAGAGTCAGTGGAAATGTAAATGTTCAGTTTATTTAGGAAATATGTCAGTGTTGCTTCATTCTTTGGACATATTAGTATATGGACCTGCTCCCAAAAGAGTCAGTGGAAATGTAAATGTTCAGTTTATTTAGGAAATATGTCAGTGTTGCTTCATTCTTTGGACATATTAGTATATGGACCTGCTCCCAAAAGAGTCAGTGGAAATGTAAATGTTCAGTTTATTTAGGAAATATGTCAGTGTTGCTTCATTCTTTGGACATATTAGTATATGGACCTGCTCCCAAAAGAGTCAGTGGAAATGTAAATGTTCAGTTTATTTAGGAAATATGTCAGTGTTGCTCCCCACAAAAGGTGCGTTAAATTGTACCTCGGTAATTAAAGTTTAAGTAAATAAATATAGTGAATAAAGATTTATTTTAAGAGGGCATTTTCAGTCATCATAAAGCATAATAGTAGCTTTAAAAAATGTTGCACTCTTTGATACTATGATGCTATTTGCACCTTTCATCCAAAAACGATGAGTTCGGTGCCTCCAGGACTTGAAGCAGGCAGGCCCCTGAGCAACAGTATTTTGTGTGAGCTGCAGGTCCCCCTGAATGTCCCCAAAGGGCAGCGCCTATGGCAGCTCTGGGTTTTTAGGTCACTCTCCGTAAGATACATGGCCTCCTTTTCCACTGTTAGGGAGGCCTCCCGGGAAGCTAAGATGCTACGATGGCGTCGGACCATGCTGAGGCATTGCCTGTTCTATAAGAAAAGGCAGATGATTCATCTGTCTTACAAGTGTTTCCCCTTTGGAATCACAGGTCTATTTATTTATTTACTTACTTAGTTATTTTGAAGGGAGCGAGAGAGAAACATCAATTGGCTGCCTCCTGCAGGTGCCCTGACTGGGGATTGAACCTGAAACCTGAGTATGTGCCCCGACTGGAATCGAACC